TCCACAGATATGAGCGTTAGCAGTTGATTATTCCTATCTTTGTTGTGAGAAATATTGTATCTTCCATTTGGCTTATTAAGTTAGTGATGTAAACACTTTTTAGGAACAGGAAGTGTACTAACCAAAAAGAGCACTCTTCTAAATGGTTGTTTTATTGTGTTCAGCTAGAGAAGTTATGGAGACATGTCTAAAGGTGTTTGGTGAGAAAAGACCAAGAGAAATTTTGAACATGAATTGCTAAAAATAACACTTCCCAATTGCCTCAGTAACCCAAATACTGACTTTAGCCCAGAAATTCCCTGACATTTGCCCATAACCTGCAAAGAACTGAGTGCTTTCAGCACCTGCTGAAGGTCATGTAAACTGAGGAGACCCTGCACTCAAGTATTAATATGAAGACTCTCAAATTAAACAGTTTTCCTAGATCATTTAGGGTTTAAAAAAAAAACAACCCAAAAAATCCATCAATGGTTCAGTGATCTATATTTTAATCTTAGCTTACTAGCTTGAATCTTTCCACTGACTTTAGTGGTTTTTTTCTAATCATTCCTGTAAAATGGTACAAACCATTTAAAGGAATTTAGATTTTCTTAGGTGAAAGCAGTTTATATGGGTTCACAGATTTTAAACACAGAAAAATCTACCTTGGAATGCATTTAGAATGTTTACAGTCTTATAGGCAAGGTTTGAGTTGGGTTGTTCATGTTTGCAGATATTTTTGATGCAGTCTCACTTACTTGCTAAATTACAGAATAAAGATTAGAAAATTATATATCAAAGGAATTAATTTTCCCTTCTGAAACAGAGCTGTAATAATTATGCAAACCAAACTATGATGAGACAGGTTTCAGGAAGGAAGGAAGTCACAGAAGTAAACATATTAAACTGCTGTTTGCCAGAGAGAGGCATAGGGGCAAGTTAAAAAAAATTGTCTTCCTCCTAACTGTCTGAATTTTTAAATGTTTAACCATTTTCTGTGCCAAAACTTTATATAAGAGCAAACATCTATTTGTACAGTGCCTTTTGTGCAAGACGGGATAAAGATGGATGGGGAGTCCTAGCCGTGGTTAGTATTTGAAAGTCAGCTTAGAAATCTAGTGTATTCCAAGGGAAACGCCTACCCAGATCTCAAAAACCTACCCAGATCACTGTTTTAAGGCTTACTAGTCTAATGGGGATGATAGAAGCTGCATGATGACGTAAGTAATAAAGGGGTGGACAAGGAGGTGTTTTGCACATTACTAGGCCTAATTTTTTCACTTTCAAACTCTATAAAATTCCAAATATCCTCTAGTTTTGTCCTTATTTGGGAATAGGTCTACTCTACCTACAATGTTATCTTAGTATTGTAAACCAACTAGCTTAGGGAGCAGAGGTGGTCTTTTTTCCTACCAAATGAAGAAATGGATTAAATTAATCTATCCTGACGTATTTGCTCTTGTGGTTGAACTGCTGCCAGTGCCCAAGGGTTTGGGGCACTACCTAAACATCTGCACTGCAGATATAATCTTTGCGCACTTTGGAAAGCGTTGGCATTTAAACTATTTTGTTCTGGGAGAATTACAGAGGAATGAAATCTCAACCAGCAGTCCAGCATTTCCCAGTGACAACCCGATCCTTTGGCCTTCTTTTTGCCCTTCCTCTCCCATACCTGCCGTCTTTACTGCTTCTAGCTATAGACGTATGCAGAAATACCTTCAAATTCCCTATTCCCACTGTGGTCGGTATGTTCTGTTGAAGGATCAAAAGCAGAAATAACTGAATTCCTGGGAGTATTCTGGTTGTAATATACTGCCACAGAAAAAATGTCAAGCAAGTAGGGGTTGGAGCTAAATCCTCTCCAGTCACCCATTCAGCACTCACCTGACAGAAATCCAATCTTGTTACTATTACAAGGTAAGGATTGTATCATGGGAAGCAAGTCAAATCTTTCCTTCAGAACATATTTTCTGTTCAGAAAAGCAATTTCCTTAGAGAGAGCAATTTCCTTAGATGCTGTTCTCTCTCTCTTTTTTCTTTTTTTTTTCTTCCCCCACTTCCAAAGGGACTTGGAAATCGGGCTAGTGCTAATGTTGCTAATGCTCTAAGAACTTAAGCATTCCTATCTCTTTTTCTGATAACGTGAATTTGCGGCACAAAGTTCTCTCAGATAGGTTGGTAGGTGCAAGAATCATGCTCCCCAGCATGTACGGAGGAAAAGCTTTGTGTCGCACAGTGAATCCCAGTAGGCTTTTGTATCCCTTTCAGCAAGGAAGGCCTGTGGTCTCTAGTCCTGAATGCGCTTCACAGATAATGAAAATGTGGTAACCCCACAGGTTGCAACAGGAACTCCAGACAGGGGGAATGTCATCTCCCCAGTTATCCAAATAAAACTTACTGCTCTTACATTCTGCATTTAAAGTGAATTTCTTTCTTCATTCATTGGTTCTGAACGTGAGCTTTTCCTTTTTGCATGTAAATTACATTTTTATTGGTGTGAACAAAATATGTCATTTATTTTTTTCATCTTTCCAAATGTTGTTAGGCTTTTGTAATGAGAACATTTCTATAATAAAAGAAAGCCTGAATTATATTATTAAAAAAAATTAGCAACGTAGATGAAAATATTCTAAAGGTCTAAATTCCAACTTGCATGCTGTTTTAGGTTTTTTAGAGAAGTTTTAAGATGCGTGTGTACAGTATATTTTACAGATTATAATAAAGTTTTAAAAATGCAAAATTTTCCTTTCAAAGACTACTCAGAGTTTCAGAAAATTAACCTCTAGCTAGAAATGCAATTTTGTGATGCCTGTATCTAAAACCACCAATAAAGCTTTTGCTAATAGTATTCATTAAAGAAGAAGGCAAGCCTACATAACTCAAGGTATAAAACAGAATTGTCTAACACAGTCTAAGTAACAAACTAATTCCAAAAACATTAAAACTATCTTTTTCTCAGATTCCTAGCTGAGAAAATATGAACTGTATGTTAAAAATGTAGTTATTGTAACATAGATTATTTTCCCTCATGGATGAACACTGCCCAGCAAGGAACATTAATGTGAACTCTGAACTTTCAGTGGATCTGCTTTCTCATCTTCTTTTTCTGCTGATTTTTTTCTAATATGAAGGACAAATCAGATGTTCTAAGATAATTTCAACCAAGTACTATATGGATTCAATATTATTTTTAGAAGGAAAGTCTTTTTTTTTGTTTTTGGTGGTTTGCTTTTTTAAAACAGTATTTTTTTCATGTTGTTGCATGACTTGCCTCATGCTAGCTAACAAGGAAAATTCGTGGTGATCAGCTGCCATTTTTAAGGGACTGTAAATGGACTGACTAGGACAACACCTGGGAAAAGTCTGTGTTTGTAAGGTATATGGGAATTCAGTGTGGCTAGGAATTAAAATCCTATCAGTGGCATTGTGTGCAGATGAGGAGGGTGTACTGGGAACGTTTCCCATTTACAGGTCCTTTAATGCTGAAATTTCTTAAAAATCCATACAGACAACTTCAAAACATCAGCCCTTTCTAGCTGAAAGTGAGACTGTGTGCAAAAACAGCAAAGGGTCTTAAGCACACCCAGAATACAATTTACTTGCACATTTTTAGTTTCAATCTCTTTGGGAATATGTGAATTCATTTCTGTGGCTAAGGGGCTGGACCCCCCTTTATTGCTAGCAAAAACCAGCCACAACTGAGAGGTAATATCCAGGATATAAAATTATTAACATATATGATATGCTATCAAAGATACTGAGGTATTATTAATATAAAGGCAATTTAAGGATAAATTGATGTGTAATCTGCATAAGAGAATATCACCAGCTATATAGCTATAATCACTTTAATTAATGTTTTGATTCCAGTAGGAGAGTTTTGTGGGGTTTTTTTGTTTATTTGTTTTCTGGTTTGATTTAAACTTCTCTCTAAATAAAGTTAGCCCTCTTGTACAAAATGAAAATACACCGAGGACTATGCCAACCAAATTTGGTTTATTTCAATTCTTAATGCTGGAAAAGTTCTCCTAGAGCGTTTAACGCATCCTGCAGAGACTTAGATCTATACAGGGAGCCGCACTGATGTTCATCAAGGTTTTGCACAACTGTAAGTCCAAGCTGCGTAGTCTTCCTAGATTCAGGATGTATCATCATAGAGCATGGCCAGCAGTAGGAGAGAGGTGCCAGAGATGCATCCCTAGCCGGAGCTGGAGAATCCAGAGACAAACGCTGGAAATGATTGATTTCAGCAAAAGCGTTTCCTGGGTCAAAGAGGGAATTTCGTGTTAAACATACGGATCACACACACAAAAAAAGAACAGTCATATGGTTAGGGGTATTACAAAGATTTTTCTATATTTATCTCCTATATCTAATAAAAGCCCTAATCACTTGCCTGCTGACTGTCCTCCTCTATCTTTTTGACTGTTGCTAGAGAAAGTTTTTGGAAGACATTTGTATTGTCTCAATACATAATGTAAAAGTTTGATGAAAACTCAAAAACGTTCATGTGCGGGAGAAGATGGTGCCCCACTCACTTTTGTGTATATCAGCCTATTTTTATGGTAATATTTTGGCAACGTATGTACTTTTGAATGCATTTTCTCCCTTTTCCCCTATTATTTACATATTCTCATTCCAATCTTTTCTCTTTTTAATTTACATCTAGCTTTTCTTTTAGCTCTTTTCCATCTGTGTGATATTTGCTGTCTGCTAAGTTCTTTCCTTTGTGTTGTTTTTGCTTTTTCTTTTTCTTTGCAGAAAGCCTTAAAGCTAAAGTTGTAATATAGAATATAAATGGTCAATTATTCATCTTTATCGCCACTTTAAAAATGTAATTGTTAGCAGTTTCTAAGGAAGAGGAGAGCTTCTCTTTTGAAGGCTGTATACAATGACAGAAGATGGAGATTGCTAATGCTAGGGAAGAGCAGCCTTTAGAAAGGGGAATTGTTGTTCTCCTTTATGTTCAACATGTCTTTCCAATGTATTGAGCTAAACAGTTGTTTTTAATTCTGTTTCAGCAACAAGAGCAAGATCCAACTAACTTATACATTTCCAATTTGCCACTTTCGATGGATGAGCAGGAGCTTGAGAACATGCTTAAACCATTTGGGCAGGTTATCTCTACAAGGATACTGCGTGACTCAAGTGGGACAAGCCGTGGTGTTGGCTTTGCGAGGTACTTCAGTGTCATTAGCTGCACTGTTTTTTTCTCTTTTTAGAAGAAGACTATATTCTGTATTTTAAAAAACAAAACTTTTCCCAGTAATTCAGGATTTCATCTGGAATAGGTAGAAAAGGCAGAAATTATAGAAAGTGACCAAACCTTTAAAGAAACGGGGATCTAAACAGAGATACCAACAGGACTTTGTTAGTTTATCCTTTGCTTAAGCTATTATGGCTGCGTCTCAGCTCTCTTACATGGCTAAATCTGCATCTATTACTCTTACTGAGCAACCATCCAGGGTAAAGAGTTCACTCTCCATAGCTTCCTCCTCTTCATTGTACTTCTCCTTTCTCCACTGTCCCTGAACCAGTAAGCAAGAGTCATGCAGGGCTTTGGCGTGGTCTAACCCTGTGGCTGGGGTTCAAGCCCATTAACCGTGTCACCAGTTAAACCTAGGTTAACTGATCTTTATTTTTGCTAAATGTGGACTCCTCAAAAACACGGGGGGGAGTAGCCTTCCTAAGAAGGAGGGGAAGAAACTTCTGCTGTGGCATTTCTGGCTTTTGAGTCTTGAATTTCAGACAGAAGACCATAAGGAAGAACTTTTTTTTTTTCATTAGTTCCTCTGAGAAAATCAACTCATCATCACTCTTCAAACGTCAGTCCTTTGAATTTTCTGGCTCGTTAACATGCTGTCATTTGGGAATGAAAATATTTTTATACACTTACAGTAAATCTCACCTTAAAATATTTCACAGCTCAGTCAAATACTTCTCCCAAATCAACAAGAAAAAGTATTTTCCATAGATAAGTAGACACCTCTCAAATACACTGTCCATGTGCATCCACCTTCTCTCTAGTTAATACAGACATTTGCTCTGGGGTTTCTTCATCAAAGGTTTTTTCTGCATACTTCTAGTATTTTCCCATGTCTGATTAAGTCCTGCTTTAAACCTAGGATGGCACGGTAATCACAATTTGGAGGCTTTAAATTGAATATTTCTATTATCAAAAATAGAGGCATGCTTTGTGCAATTGGGATTTGAGATTTGGGATTCTCAAAAGTATTTTATAAAATCTCTGCCAACAATCAAATTCCAATAATTCAGATATTCAGCCAGTATGACAGTAGCTCTATGTTTGAAAAAACAGCAAAATCTAAAATTAGTACACGAAGAAGAACTGAACAAATTATGTTTCCTGATGAAGCCAGAAATTTCAGGGATTGGTCTCACTGTGAATTGGCTATTGGAAGTTCACAGGACTTCGATTTTTTTTTTTCCTTGAAATCATTTATTTGCCTAGCAAACTGGCCTGTTTCAGAGAGAAACAACAAAGGAACAAAACTAGAAACACTGGGAAGAGATATCGTTAATTACTTAAGACTACAAAACCAGTGAGCTTGATTTTTACCTAGATTTCTTCCTCTCCCCTTTAAATAAATAATAAATGTTTGCCGTATCTTTGGTGAAAGGTTAATTTGACGTTTTTATTTCATTCATATACTTGTAGCTTTTATTTTTTATATGAGCATATGTACAAATATTTGAGTGTGAACTCCATACAACTATAAACAAAATGTGTGTGTGTTTTTGGATGACTTACAAAGTGAGTATATATTCACATATTATATGTACTCATTTTGAAAATACTGATATTTTCCCTCAAATGCAGCATTCACTTTTTGGTAGTGCGAAGGGCAGAATCCAGTAGTATCTGTGTTTAAAATACTGTAGGTATTGCAAAGTTGTGCTGTCTTTTCTTTCCAGACTTGCTAACAGACTTTCCCTTGAATCAGAGGTATTTAAGGAAAGCTTTATTCCAGTACAGCCAGAAAAGTTTTTAAATTCTCTGCAAAAGTCCAAAAGATCTGTGTGTATCCAAAACCTTGTTTGTATTGAAAGCATTTTAAGAGATTAGTTTAAAAGTGAATATTTTTTCAGTAGGTTCTGTATTATACTAATAAGTTTTTAGAACAAGCTGTTGATATGATTTCTACTCAGATTTTCTACTCTTCTGCAAGGAACGTATTGGAACATTATTGGATGAAAGTTAGCTAAGATTAGGAATGTCCACAAAGCATGTAGACATGAAATAAAGATTTTCATTTCTTGCCTTCAGGAGCATTTTATTAGGTTGATAAGGAGTAGTATATTTTATCAAGCCCAGACTTGAGTCTGAGACTAAATTACATTGTTTTGAGAGAAAGAGAAAAAATTAGATTTCTTTGATTCAGATCCAACAACCCAGAACTTCTGCAAGTTCTCTAGAAACATTTTTGAAACTATGAAGAAAATTTCTTGTTTGGTCTGCCATTTTGATGATTCTGCTTGTTGTCTGTGAATACATTTCCTAGGGCCTTTGCAGAAATGCTATCAGAACTGAAAAGTGCAAAGACCTACACGTTTTTAGGACTGCTTCTTTGCTGCTAAGGTCATTGGGCCTTGTTTGTGGATCTGCGTTATAGAAAGTCAAGGAGCAAATGAAAATCTCTGTTAGTGTTATTAGCCAGACATCATTTTGCAGACAACTTTAACATATATTCTCCTTTTAAAGGAAATTTTGTTTTACTCTCAGTCATGAGTTCCAATTTAGTCCAAAGTGGTAGCTTAGTTACCTACCAAACTGGTAGGTTACTTAGAGATAACAAAATAAGGGACAGTTACATCATTTAATTGTGATATTTTAGCTGAGGTAAGTTAAGATGTAAACTAAAAGCTTCCAAGGTAGTTTGGGTAGTCAGGCATATTTATATTTGGGTTTATTGCTCTTAAACCTTATAGACACTGCAGAATCCTCTATCAAAAGTGGCATTAACATTTGTTCTATGTATCGTAGAAGCCAAAGACTGAATTATGAATGACTATGTATCAATCTTTCTGCTTTCTTCAAGACAGCATAGGACTTTGTACTATAGCTGTCCAAATTATGCTCTACCTAATCTTTAAATAAATACAAGTATTGTATTTGCAGTTTGGTATTGACTTTGGCCTCATCTTGGGTAAAATGTTCATTCAGTTTAGTTTTACCTTTCTGAAATTGTGTGTTCTTAAAAGCATCTTGTCTATTGCTCACACATGGGGAAAGCAAGGTGCAAAAGTGAAGAGATAAAAAGCAAGCAATAGACTAAAAAAATTGCCAACGTGGAATCTGGCTAAGCATTTAATTTATGTAAATTATTCTTTGTTTTTATAGAATGGAATCAACAGAAAAATGTGAAGCAGTGATTGCTCATTTTAATGGAAAATTCATAAAGACACCAGCAGGAGTTTCTGGTATGTTGTATGTATTTCTAACAACATGTGTGAGTGGGTTACCGCCTATATAGTGGAAGCCTGTCATGCTGATTGTTTTATCTGACTTCTCATTCAAAGGTAGGCTTATTAAAATTAAACTGTCTTGTTGGATGACAGTAATTCTTGCTCGCTTGGAATACAGTATATCATTTTCCTACAGTGAACTTTTTCTAGAAATCTGGTTCTGTTCTCCTCTAGCAAATAGGCAAGCAGCTCACATGCCTTAAGCCGGCTATGCACAAATTTACATCCCACATATTCCAAGTTGAAGTCAGGAGACAAGTATGTGTTGTACATGCATCAGAACAGAATTTGGCTGATTGTCCATGGACAATTTTTTTTTTTAAGAGGAAAAAAATGGACTACTTTTGCCATCTGTTGATGATTTTTCCAAAGTCCTTTTGAAAATGGCAAATTAGATTCTGCAGCATTTCCTTTATGCCTTTTCATTCTTTGGGATATTTTACTCTCATGTCAAAATAGGCTTTGAGGTTCTTCAGGAAGATGAAAGGAGATAGATAAAGACTGCTAGTTCTAGAAACAGTGTGCAAGGCAAAATGAAGAGACACTCCATAGTGTAATTTCGTCATCACACCAGTTCCTTATCAGTTCGGCTGTTTTGTCAGCACTACTTTTAAGAAACAAAAGGCATGTTCCATAAACACGCAAAAATCAGGAAAGGAAATTCAGAGCCGCAGAATAAAATAGAAAGAAAACAGGATAATAAATGAGGAAAGAATAGGTGCCTAAGATTCCAGGCTTCTTTTGGTAACTATTTTATTGAGGATCCCGAGGGGGAATTCTGCAGTTTACGTTGCTGATGCGTTTACTGAAGCCACCTTCATCCCACTGGTGACACGTTTTCCATAGTCAGACCCTGACCCAGAGAACATAGGCAAAGGAAAGCAGCAATCAGCAGGCAGAAAAGAATGTAGCCTGTTTTGTAAAGCTGCATACATGCCTCGTCCCTGGAAGATTGCTCCAGTTTGAGGCGGTCTGGGCTGCGGTAGGGATGGAAGGCTGCTTCAGAGCACAGGAAACCACTCCCTTCACCAGCGCTAATCTAATGCAGGGTTTTCACTTCACTGGCTTTTGCAGACCCTTTGCGCTGGGATGGATTGCTGAGGCTGTGATTATTTAGTTAAAACTTCGGATGTTATAGATGGGGCTGTAACATTTGTTTTCCTATTTCATATATTTAGCAGTCTGTGTTTTTATAAGATGGAAAATCCCTTTAGGGGCAAGGAGATCGTGGAATGATTTTCACTGAATGCTGATCGTGCTGTGATCCACCCTTGGTGATTATTTTTGTAGCGCTGCTATGGCTTGGACATAATTACAAGTAAACAGTATGGGGAAACCAAGAGTTCAAATTAACATATAGGGGTTTAAACTCAATTAGAGCCAGTAAAAAACTGTTAACAGGACCTCCTATTAGTGCTTTTTAGTTTGTTCATTTGTATTCACACTTGCATTATCCCGTCCTCAATGAGCAAGCTGTCAAGCGTATCATTGTTGATCATACTCTGTGCTGGTGGGCCATTGCCGAAGCTGGAGTTACACCCTTGTATTATCAGGTTCTAGCAGGTAGAAATAATAAATTGCTGCACAGAATTATGAGAATGATTTCTGCAGAGTGTGGAGGAAAGGAACTACTGTAAAAGTGTGATTAATTAGGACAAGAAATTTGCCCAGAACTGGTGAATGTCAGAAAGGAGAAAATAAAGAAGGGTCTCTGGATGTAATCTACCTCCCTGACTTTAACTTCTAATGCTTTCCTGCCCACATCAAAGCAGTCATCTAGGCTCCCTGTCTAAAAAATGTAAAGAAGCACACACCTCCAGAGACCAATGTGTCTCTGCTGGCAGCTGTCTCAGAGTGGGATGAATCATGTCTGAAGGTAGCTATCTCTCACCAGTGGTTGCAGAGAGCATCGAGACGAGTAGCTCAGAAACAGATAACCCTCAATGTCTGAAAGTCAGTTAAGTGAGATGAGTCGCACCCTCCGTGACGCTGAAAAACGCTTGGCATTCTACTGTGCGTTTTACAAATAAGTAGGTGTATAAGGGAGTTGTGAGAAACTAGTTCATTAAAGACCCTCGGTTTTGTTGAATTGCTTACAGCCTGAATTATGCTTTTGAAAGCTGGTGCTGTGAAGCTGCGTGGCTCCTTGCAGCAGTCTTTCTGGCGCTCACATTCTTGCTGGAGTTCCTCACCACAGGGCAGGCGTGTTTCCAGCAGAGCAGCCTTACAGCAGGGTGCAGCTTGCACACGATAAGACACCGCAGGCTGCCAAACAGTGGAGCAGAGTCATGAGGCAACCGTGGTCTTAGACTACCTGCACGCAGAACGTGGATGCAACGGGAAAGCTCTTGCACAAACAAAGGCTAGGAGAATGTTTTGGAATAGATTAGCATCTTTTGGGGGTTATGGAGGAGCAAGTTCAAATACATGCGAAGTAAAACTGTAGAAATGGAACTATGTTTAAATTAAAACATTGTGTCCTAGAAACTTGGCTAAAATCAGCAAAGGGAGCTGGCAATAAAAACACTGTTATCAGGATGAGGAGGGTAGGAGAGAAGGGCCTGTAATGAAATAGGTGTGGGAGGAAGAACATCTGTTTAACAAAAACATGCTTTCATAATGCAGCTTTGTTATTTTAACTAAGTTTGGATTTCAATGGAAGATTGGGTTAAACACAGTTACAGAAAAGCACAGGTAAAACCTGGGGAGTATGAGAACAGAGAAGAGTAAACCTATGAATGTGAGAGGGCTAAGGCAGTGCGTAGGGTTCACAAATGCGTTGACTGTAGATTTTTTGAGTGACAGGTTTCTCACACTGAATGCTGATGAAGCTGAACCCGGATGTACCAACCTACCTAGACTTTATTTCCCCACTCCGTATTAGCTTAATGAAAAATATGTTCATATATATTTATATTTTCAAATATATTTAGTGTGTCCGTGTTTGTTTTCAGTCAGCAAAAAGGAAGGTTAGCTCAGAGAGCAATTCCAAATCCGCTGCAAGCTGGTATAATTCTCAAACTCCTAGGAGCAGTATATTAGTTTCAGTGTTTGTTCTAGTCCTGGATTGTGTGTTTTGTCATGTAAGTTATTGTAATACTATTTCTGTTTTGTGGAATATGACATTTTGTTTGTTTCTCTCAGAACTTTGCTTTTTTTATTTCCTACCCCTTTTTGCTACATGATTATTACATTACTATTACAATCTTGCTTAGTTCTATGCTTCTCTTTTAAGAACTATTGTCTTTACTGAATGATGTGATATTTAAAGCTTTTCAATTGTCCTGTGAAACGTGAACCTCATGAGGTGTACTGGAGGAAGCAGAGACTAGTGTAAGGAGCCAGGACACAGAGGATGAGCGGTGAGGGCAAAGAGAGCGTGCTTAGACTCCCTCCCATAAAATTTTTACCTAATGGTCACTATGTTTTTATTTTGTGTTGGACTCATAACAATTGTGTAAATGAACTCCTGGCCAAAATCACAAAAGGCATTTTCTCCCTATCACAGTTGCATGCAGCTACATGATAATGTGTGAGAATAAATTCATAAACAATTAATATGCCAGAAAATGAGAAAGCAATAGAGAGAAAAAATGAGAAAAGGGAGAAAATAGAGAAATTGAAGTGGTGGTAGCAATTGTACTGTAGAATATGTGAGGACTCATCAAGTTATGTGGGAATAAAAATCCCCATGGTGTGCAGACTCTGAGTGTATTTGTCTCATTTACACCATTTTACCTTTAAAATGAAGAATATAGAGGTTATGAAGTTACCAAAGCTTTATGCCTATTATAAAGGTTTTATGGATTCTGTCATACTTAGTTTAATGAAAAATGACTTCTGCAATTTTTGTTGTTGTTGTTTTAATAGGAGTAAAGTGGAGAGCATTTTTGCTAAGCATCCTGCAGCATTTTTACTCTTGCTGCAATAATGATGGGCTATGGTGATGACCTAATAGTGCCAGGTTACCCATGACTCATCCTTCTCTTCCCACTTACTGCAAAGATTTTGATCCCTCAGATTCTGTTCCAGTGAAGAAACTAAAGACAACTGTGAGAGCCCTGCTCCTATGCTGCTGACTGCAGACCAGGAGAAGGTACACTAGGTGCAGTAGACACTGCTCTTTGAAGTGATTCTGATCTTGAGCATCTACTGCAGGAGAGGAATGAAAATGTAATAGTTATCCTGTGGCAGTCATTTCTGAGCTTTTTTTATCCGCTTACCTCTAAAAAGTATCCAGCGCTACAGAACCCTGTATATTGAATTTAAGCCTCTTGACAGTGAGCTAACATTTCTTAGTCATCTTTCACAGACCCTTTAGAAATAATCCGTGAACCACAGTCTGAAAACCTAAAGGGTATCAAGAGGTCACAGTGCTGTTAGTCCCGGTTGCCTCACTGAAGTCAGCAGAGCCAAGATTTTACTCATTAGATCAACAATTTGAAGTTCTCAGTGCTCTAATTCCCATAGTTTATGGTTGCTGCTTAGTTTTAAGGAGAAACATTGGAACAGAAAAAATAATCCTACTTATAACTGCTCAAAATATACTCCTATGACACTGCTAAAATTATTAAAGAAATGTAACCTTGAGCACTGCATTTAAGTGAAGATTAGGATGGTGAGGAGGACATGTTTTGTTTCTGCTTAAACATGTAAAGCTACTGATACTTGAGATCTGGGGTTGCACAACTTTTTTAATTCCCAGAGCTTTTGGCAAAAGTTTCTAGCCATACAGACTTGCTGTATCATTAAAGTCATGTTTTAATGTTAGAATTCATTAGTACCATATGCTTTGTCACTCAGAAATATGCAATGAAAATCACTAAAAAATGCAGTTTAGCTGAAAACTGATTAAAAGAATGCTATTTAAAACTATTTTGTTGTATTAATATGTGAAAAGCAGTTTATTGAAATGTTGATGAAATTAGCCGTGTAAAGTCAAGAATGCAAACGTTCAGTCCGATACAAGAACATCAGTTTTGTTCTTGCGTTTCACAGTTTCACCCGTTACGTATTTGCGTAGACACTGAGCAAACCAAGGCTGAATTCGGCTGTACATGTGTGTACAATATGGGTACGTGTACGTACAACAGGGAAGTATCTACGTTCCTGTCAAAGCCTGTCGCTTCACTCTCTAGACTGACATTGCATCCACATACATCTTTTCTTCTGTTAAAACATTAGCTCTAGAGGAGGGTGATTCAGGGCAAGTGGAGATGCTCAGCACTTTCCACGGTCAGGTTTTAAAGCGCTGAGTTGGTGTTAAACCAGTGAAGAGCACAAGGTTACAGAACGCCTTGGTGGCAGTAGCTCTACGTACTACTAAGTGTTTTGTGGTTTGTTAAGTGTCAGCAGAGTGGGCATTTTAAACATGTTGCCGCGGCTGTAGAAGCATAAAACCGCTGTAAATTGTAGCCTTTTAAATCAGCCACCATTATTTTTCTATCCTGAATGCAACTAAGAATGTTTATACTATGCCTCTCTCTGCCTTGCACAGGCAGACAAATCAGTGAGTGATTAATGGTCCCCCGCATCCCTGGGCCTGCACGCTTCCCAACAGTTACACAATAAAAATGACTCTCCCTTCCTTCCTGGACCATAAAAAAGATTGCTTGGCTGGTCTGTAGGGCTTGTTGTTGTTGTTTTGTTTATATATCTCTAATATATACGTGTGTGTAGGTACAGGAGAGAAAATATGTATTTGTGAAAAACATGAGGAAAGCTAAGCTGAAGAAGTACATTTCAGATTTGAGTTCTGAAGAGACTACGTTCATTCTTCTGGGCGAGGGGGATCAATGGATCATGCTCAGCTCCTGTGAGGGTCTTTATCTCCTTCCTATGAATCTCCCCCTGATGATTGTCGGTTGTTGTGCTCTCAGGGCAACGAAGGTAGTTGTACTCAGGCCACAAGCGTGATAGAACAGTCAAAAATTACAGACAGGCTTTCGGTGGCAGCAGCCCTCGCTGTCGGCGCTGGGATCTCGGGCCGGGATGAAGGCAGGGGAGCGCGACGCAGCGTTCGCAGCAGCTGGTGGCCTTGCGGAGAGGGGCTGCTTTGTTCTTGGACGCGAGCTGGAACGGCCGCGGCGTTTGTCTTCGCTCAGAGGCGCAGGGATGAGCGAGAGAAGCTGGAAGGTCAGGAGCACAAGGGTTCCCATGACCTGATCTGTGTTCAGTAACATGGAGCACAAACTTCTGGCAAATCACAAGCTGATGCCTGTTTTTTTTCATTGCTGCAGGTAGTGGATATTGTATATACACAATCCAATACGTGTGGGTAATTATTCTTCCGTTTTTCTTTCTTTTTAAACTTCCTAGAAGAGTGTTTCCAGTGCACTACAGAAGATGTTTCATCATTTAAAATTTAGTTATTTTCAGTTACCAATTGATAAAAATTCATATCTATTCTTAAAGATTCTTTCCTCGATCATGTTATTCAAGCAGTTAAGCAGATTTGCTCCGACTTTTTAAAATAAATTATCTTTATCTTGAGACGATGGTGGCAAATGTAAGCCCGCAGTGACCATTTAAAAGAAGTTTTATACAACCCACCCTGGGGATTTTTAATGAAAACATAGTGCAGCTTTAAATAAAGTATTTACTACCTATGAGTGCTATAATACAGAATCAGATGGCTAGAATCATGTATGCATTTTCTGATGCCTTTATATGCCGTTTTCAAGCCAATTTCTTTTGACTTCATCCAAATTTTATACTATATATTTTGGAAGTTGCATCTGCTTCCCACAATACCAGATGATTTGAAATAAGTCGTAATTAACCAAAGATAAATACTCAACTTGAGGAGTAGTTTTTTTCATTTTAGGTAGGTAGTTAAATAGTTGGATATCAGCTTTCCCTTGACTTTTTTTTTTTTTTTTAACCCCTCACCACATAAAATCATGGCTCAAAATAATTTAGGGCCAGAACCTGATATCTTTAACCATACGGAATAATATTTTCATTCCAGATAAACTCCACTTATTTCCCTCGAACGATATATTTGAATGCTGTGTGATACGAGTGAGGTTATTAGAATCTAGCTTTGATAAAACAGCCTCAAAGTAGCCTTTGGTATATTGACATAGTGCCCTTCTCCCCCAAATACGCTAAGACAGAAGTTACTTCTCTCGACCGAAGGATCCAGAACAAAGCTGAAATCGGGTATTACAAACAATCCCCTCAGCAACGCAGAATTTTAGTGGTAGAATGTTCTCTGGTTTCTGCCTCCTATTTTAGGGTTTCTGTTATTCATTGTGGGTTTACTCCACTATTTCATAGGTCTCTAGTGTTTTTCCAGTGTCGTCAGCCTAACCTTTCCCCAGTTTATTTTATGAGTATAGGATTTTAATTACCACTCTGTGTAAGGTAATCCATTCTAAATTAATTTGGTTGTCATGTTTAGTACTGAAGTCTGACTCTCAGAGGTTATAAAGTTATTTGACTACCAAATAACAGCACAGCAGTTGCAGCAGGACAAGTCTCTGACAGATGTGTGGTCAGTATTGGAGATGAGACCAGGGGCCACCTACAAGTTTTGTCTCTGAGTCCATTCATCTTTTGCACAGAAGGCTCTCAAGAAGTGTGTTAGGTATGAAGCGGGTGTTTTCCCAGTAGAGCCGGAGCTGGTATTTTATATATGCCAGCCAAAACCAGTGATGACTGGACCAGTGGCAGCTATGTCAGATTTGAGCTGATAGTTTAAAAGGCAGGCTCTTTGCCAGGCTATCAGTCCCCTGAGGTTTCCAATATTTAGTGTTATTCTGACCTACGCAAGAACCAACAGATTTTGGTGCATGATATAGGCATGCTACTATTTTACTCTGCGTTGTTGCTTTGTTTTGTTTTTTTCTACCTAATGCTATGTGTTTAATGCGCGCTTGGAAATGTGCATGTTTTCGGATCCAGCCTTGTCTCATTCAGGTGTTTCCAACTTGAGAAAGACTAGAGGAGTGCCATGTAAAAGCTTAGACAGCTCATGTGTCAGGAATTATTGGCAGAGAAATGTTCCCATCCAAATCACTACAGTGCTTCCACCCTGTGATTAGGGAGGGTGTGGTTTGGTGTAGCAGAGCTGTGCTTCAGCCACAGATAGTTAGAAACTATTATAATTTAAACGGGTAATAGGGAACGAATACTCTGCAAACTTTTTTTTCTGATTGCTTGAATTTTGCAATTAGAAACCGAAGTCATGGTCAGGATTATGTTGCGTAAAATCTTTGAAAGAATGTATAGTGATCCCATTTCATGACATTATACAAAAACGAGATAAAAGAAAAATCTTGAAGAATTTCTAGTTGTGTTGTGTGCTCCTTCTAAAGTAGAGACAAAAAGGGAATGGAAAGTTGTGGCAATTTTTTCCAGTGCGAGGTGGCAGGAGATAAAGGGTGCCCACTCTACCCTGCAGATTAGAATAAGTGGAAGGAAGTACTGTGCCAACCTTTTGCGATATTACTGAAACTCCAAGGGAAAATTCAAAAACATATTAAAGCCCTTTTGCCAGATTTATTCTCCGCCTTCCTTAGATGTACCTCCTGAACTGCATAGCTCAGAACTGGAACGACCGTTCTCGTTAATCCACGGAGCAACAGACACACAGTCAGGATATTCAGGTCGTGTTTCTTTCCAACAGGTTTTAAGAGTGGTACTTTAAAATCAAAGATACAAGGCGTTCCAGGTGCTCCCTGTGTGTGTGGCAGCTATTTTTGTGCTGTGCGGAGCAGTCATTGGTGCACTAGTATGAGTCTGTGTTATTTAACTGAAACATTAGAAATACAAATTAAAAAACATACCTCATTTGGAATGCTGAACACTTGTATATAAACGACTATTTTAAACAACATTCCCTCTTTCTTCTCAGTTCCTGCAGAACCTTTATTGTGCAAGTTTGCAGATGGAGGACAGAAAAAGAGACAGAATCAGAATAAATATATACAGAATGGAAGAGCATGGCACCGAGAAGGCGAGGTGAGACTTGTAAGTCCTCCTTTCAAGCTTTAGTGTGGGTGTACAGTAATGAATACGTATGAAAATGATAGGCACTGAGACTTCTTGGCTTGGCCCTTTGGCATATTAAGTATGTACCACCAACTCTTAACTGACAGTTTGCAAATCTATAAAATATATAACTATTTCTTTTTTAAGAAGAAAAGAAAGTAAAATATGAAAGATTAAATCCTACCTAATTAAAGCAAACAATACAGTCTCCTTCAAATTGGTCAGGAATACACCTGAAGTATATTTCTCATACTATAAAACTACCAGAAGCCATAACTTTATTCACCTATAGTAATCTTTTTGTTAATGCAACATTGAAATGGTGATGTTTTATCGGATTTAAACAGCATACAAACGCAGTGCGGCACTAGTTTTTTTTTTTTTTTTCCTGTGGGAACAATGTCACAGTCTTTTTTTTTTTTTTTTTTAACCTTAATGTTCAAGGTAATACTTCCATAGGTTCAAGCCTAGACACCTCATATGTATGAGACAACAGCATTCACATGTCTTCTGAAAAACAGCACTTCCCAATCATTTTATAGTTAATATATTGTAGACAACACCCTAATATAATCGTGTTCATGCCCGGCCTCTCAAACACACACGTGTTCTTAAAGCCAGATATGTCATGGATTGCATTTTGTTCTTCACACTGGATCTTGGAAACCTGTCTTCTTAGTCAACATCACTGACTCTCTTTACTGCGTAATTATTTCTATTGATTATCCTTTCCCTTACTGTAAAATAATAAACTATCTCCAGACAAATTTTCAGCTAAAAATAATACAGCTAAAGAAAGAGTAGGAGAAATAAAACGAATTTTTTCAACTCTTTCTTTCCACTTTTTTTTTTTTAAAGGCTGGAATGACACTCACTTATGATCCAACCACAGCTGCTTTACAAAATGGGTATGTCAAATAATGGCACACTAGCAAAATTATTTGCATTGTGGAAGATGCATAAAACTATTACATTTCTGGCATTTAATAAATATTTCTATATTTTCTAGATTTTATCCTTCACCCTACAGTATTACAGCAAACAGAATGATCACTCAAACATCTATTACGCCATATATTGCTTCTCCAGTTTCCACATACCAGGTTTGTATTTAGAACTTAGTAGCTGAAATGATTAATTGGAGCTTATGTCTATTATCAGTTGTGACATCTGATTTTATGAATTCTGCAAAAATGCTAAATTTTAATGACTTGACCTCTAAATGCTGTATAGCATAAAAATGAAGGCCTTACAGATTCCTAAAAGGGTGCTTGTTTCAGGAAGCACAGCAATTTAATGAGATATGTGGTGTCTTGTGAAACAAAGTCTCTAATTTGTGGTGATGCCTCAGGTATTTGTAGCCAGTTCTGCATGTCAGGTATGTTTTTTTTCTATTGGTAGAATTCTTCATACGTCAATAATACATCTTTAAGATAACTCTTCTTTATCTAAACCCTTCCTGACTTAACTCAATTCCATTTCAAAAATATCTCTCCACGCTTTTTGGACTTTTATCCAGAGTATTTCAGTGCAAAAAAAAGCCTGGGAATAATGCATTACATAGATGTACTAAGAAGAATATAGAAACTTGCTTGACGTTAAAGAAGGAAACTTGAAAGAGAGGTCAGAACTGAAATTATATTAGCATTCAAGTGCAGTATTTTCACATTAGGAGTAAAGCATTTGATGGTCTAGATATGTGCTTTTAACTCAAAAGTTGTATTGCTAGGAACAACAAATTAGAACATTCACCATATGCATTTTGAGTTCTTAGGGCCCAATCCAAAGCTTTTTGAGAAGCAGTCTTTTTCCTTCTCATTTTGATAGGCATTGTGTTGGGCTTCCACTACAGGAGATTACCAAAGAATTCAACATGCTGAGAAATAACATAAAACAGTTTTTGCATTTTGGTATAAATCTCTTAGGTGTGCTTAATTTTAGGTCATTGCACATTTCAGTTTACAAACAACTTGCATTAAAAACAACTAATGTGGCTCTACAGTAATTAGCGCTTGGAATATGCCAGTTATCACAAGGCATCACAAGCCAAGTGATTAGTTATTCTAGGCATTTTACTGTTTAACGCATGGACAGAATAAATATCAGTGATTCAGGTCAGGTAGTAAATAATCAAAGACAATTAAATGTTGAAAGTTTTAACCTCTGTGTCAGGGGAAGGAAAGGAGGCTTTTTGTTTTTTAGTGAGAAAGAAGTGCTACGTTTCCTGCCTTACTATGCTGATAATCATTTGCATGTGGAAGGCAAACAGAAGCACTGTGGGCAATTTAATCAGCATTCCTTTGCAGAAATTTCCATATACTCTCCCATTCCAGGTGGGAACCATGAAGAAGAACAGTTTAACATTTGGAGGTCTAATGACTTCTTGCGTGAACAAAGTATGTAGGAGGTGAAACACTATACTCTGGGGTAAAGGGCATCTGGATTAATTTTATATTAATTTTTCTAGGTGACTTATGCAACAAAATGTTTGTGGTCTGCAAACAGTGCTTGAACTATCTTTTTCAGAATATGCAATCATTTTGCTTTGTACATGAATAATACAAAAATTACAGGATGTTCTTACCTGGAAAAATATTCCAGTACAAATAGCTGCTCTTCTTTATTAAAATACAAATTATGAATCAATATTAGACTCTCATATTCCGAATGCAAATAAAAGTTGGAAGTTGGTATGGAAACATGTCGCTTATGAACATAAAACCGATTTTCTGGGCTAATTGAGATACGTGGGCCACAATACTGTATGTTGCCAAAAATGTTGTTCTGAGTGTTTCAACATATATGGCATGGAACTTAAATTGTTAGGATTGGAGTTATTAACGTCATGATGTTTAAAGTTCCACAGTAATAGCAAACGAAAATCAAACTGAAATATTCTGTACTGGGGAGGAAGGAGGTTCTTGGCTGGAAGAATTTCACAATTTGAGCATTAGTCACATCTGCATTACTGATCCATTCTCACTGAAACTTGCAGCATTCTATCATCTACACAACTGCATGTATCATGACAGCGTGATTTACTTTTTCTTCTTTGAGGCATGGTATAACCTGTTCCTGGATTTATTCGTATTAAATGTAAACAAATTGAACAAAATTTTGGCTAGTGTTTGTTTCTGCAACTCTTGTATACCCAAATGACAGTACTAAGCCAGTTACTGTCATAGTATGAGTAGATTAGCCAAGGTTTTAGTCAGCCTGTACCAGTATTTTTTCCATTAAGCTTTTGCCTGGGGAAAGGGAGGGTTCAAGTCTTTTCCCTTTTTTACCATTCCATTTGGAACTTCCCGTTGCTCTTTTTCTGACTCAAAAAGAAAAAAAACTGATCTGAAAGGAAGTACCAAAAGGAGGAAAGAAATATTTCCTTCTTGCAGAAAACACCACACTTTGATTGTCAAGGTCTGTCTACCTGTGCTGTTCACAGGACTCTGGGAATCATGGATGGAGGCATCTAAGAGATTTTAAACATCTGGCAGCAGTGATGAGTCTGTTCTGCATGCACAGTGTAGGTCAGAGTCCTGCCTTATCCAACACATGTGGCACCTGCAGGAGATGGAGAGGAAACATTTCCATCTTAGCTTTAATATTTCTTACAGCACAATTTTTCAAAGAGCTGTTACAACCATCTCTTTTAAGCTAAGATAACCATATAACCTGTTAATACATCTTTTAATCTTTTTAGTTTACCTTGTCATGCAAAGTTAGGCATCCTGCCTCAGTTTAAGTACTTGGGTAATCAGCTTTTTGGAGAGAAAATGTGCTGCCTGTGAAAGGAAGAATGCTCATCAGAGGAGCTCTTCCTCTTTTTGTACTTTGGGAATAACACATGGCAGTTCTCCCGAGTCCTACCTATCATTGTCCTTGTAACAAGAATACAGCAGAATGCCTGGGATTATTTTTTCTTTTGCGAATCCAATAATTTTTTATTCCAATCACAGTAGGAGGCAAATGATGCTATATAGAATTGAGACCCTACTTTTTTCTTCCCAAGGGAATTTCAAAGACAGAGGGGTGCCTCACTTTTCAGCACAGCAGAAATCTGTCACCTCTGTCTTTTTGAACCCTGTGCATGTACTTAATAAAGTTTCTGAGACTTGCTTTAGAAAACGTAGGGTACTGCTGTGAAAGGTCTTGTTTCTGATGGTATTCCTCCAGATATAGGTATGATTAAAAAAAGCTTTCCATATAAATCAGTGTGGCTCCACACAGTGACCCATTTCATTAAAAAGTGAGTAAACAGGGGAAGGGGCTTATTGACACGATTTATTAAAATGTTACTGTGTTTCAGTTGGAATATTCATTTTCAGTTGGAATCATTAAAATGAAAAATGAAATGCCAATTTTGTTCTAGGTTCAGAGTCCTTCTTGGATGCAGCCTCAACCATATATAATGCAGCACCCTGTAAGTTTTTATGTTTCTTCCTCGTTGTGTTACTGACTGTATAAACACTTTACATATTTTAAACAACAGGAAATAGATCAGTTCCCACTCAATTACTTCTGAAGTCTTGACAATTATGTCATGATGATTAAATCATGGGTCGAAAAGAAAAGGCAAGCAAAGATCGTAACCCGAACTGGGGCCTCAATTTATGTGGAAAAAAAGTTAGCTGCCTTCAGGGTGTCAAGTGATGAGGACAATTAGAGTTACCAAGTCACTGTACTGAGGACGTTTTTTTTCCTCCCTAAAGGAAGAGAGCTTTGCACGTACCGATGTATTACATACTGTGTACGTAACAGTAGCTGAAATTGAAAATCCTAATTTTTACCATGGATCTAGAATAGTTCAGGCTGAATAACTTAGGAAAGCCAGATGGATAAAGGGATGTGAGTGGCATTATGAGCATTCACTTAAGAAAAGCTGCATAACTTGTTGTGGCTTCCGCGCTCGTGAGTAATGCTAGTTTCCCTGCACTTTGGCTGGAACATCTTTATACCAGACTGTCAAGTATTCTCATCTGTGCTCATATTTTCCTTTTCATTTATTTCATTTGCCAATTGAGTACCATTGTACCTGAGAGCTACTAGATTTCTTGATATGAGCATTATAAATAATGACAGGCAGTTTAATATATGCACTACTATGGTCCACAAACAAGTCTGTTTCCAGATATAGAAAGGATATTGGCTTGACATTAATTAACCTCTCCATGCAGATTACAGAATGTAAATCTTCTTGGCAGAACATCTTCCTGTGCAGATAGAGAAGGTGGTACTGAACCTGAACATCCTCTCACATGCTGAATTGTTATATTTTTGTTTTTAGTGGTAAACACAACTTAGTTTTGCTCTGTCAACACAGATTTTTCATAAAAACATCTTGCAAATTGTGCTGTGAAAGACACCCGTAAATATGTTATAAAGCTATATGACATATTAGTGTCACAGATAAACACTATATTTCATAGCTGAAAGTAAAGATCTAGATTCCTGATTTAAGTTTAGTTTTGGCCTGTGCAAAAACTGGTGCTGACTTACTCATTTGCTTTGCAGAGAAGGCTGCAGTCTACAGACAGGAAATTCTTTTAGTGTTTGATGTGCCTGTGACTCATTTCATCTACCCTGGTCACGTGGTTGTTTTTCCAACTATACTCTGTAGGTTTTTTTTTTTCTTTTTAAGGAATAGTTATTCATTCAAAACACTGGTTTTTGGTACGCTGCAATTATTTCTGTTAGCTTCAAGCCTCCATCAGTTTTAATCAGCACTTCTGCAAATGTAACAATATATACAATGAGTTTGGAAACGTATTTTTGCAGAGCATGATTGGTAAAATGAGATCTGTTGATAGCCCTTCATTTTAGATAACCCTCAAAACCTTACCGGTGTGCTCTGCATATTTAGCAGTCTCAAGTCTTTAAAAATTCTGCGCATACTCTTAAATAGAGATAAAAAGAATAAAGTGTTACAAGTGTGATAGAAAGACCATCACGGTAGCTAGCATTCTTTTGACAAAGAATGATTCTTTTACATGGTTCTGCTATCCCACCCTTCTAAAGTTTGAAACCAACCATAAGGCAGGGCAGCTCTGTCTTATGTGTGAACATCATATGTGTGCAGGTAGAATTCCCCCATCACAAATATTCATATTTCTAAAGATAAGAAACGTAAGTTTCTTCTTAAAAGCCTGAGATTTCAAAGCTTAAGCTAAGTGACTCTGTACCTGCTAATGTGTGAAAATTTTTACTTTCAAATAAGCATCTGGTTAAAGTGATGTTTTATAAAG